CACTTTCAATTCAGCAAACCTATCCTGAAACGAGAGTTCGAATGTAGTTCTTTTTCTAGGTGAAATCTGAAATTGGAAACTGAGATTCTTCTGCTTACTGTAACTGCCAAGGTCACATTGCAATCAGATTTCTCGTTAGGACTTGAAACCAGTCGAAGATTACAAACGTGAGACAATTATGTGATTGTCATGGAAAAGCAAAATCAATACTACTGATCAGTTACATCCTGCAGTTTCGTTTGGGGCCGAAACAAGCGGATCGCAATGCCTCATAGATATGAGAGGATTGGGGTTATTGCTCCACCGTCCTTCCTTTTGCAATTTTAGGCTCTCTTACTTTTTTTGTGTGTTTAAATTAATGTTTTAGTCTAAGCTGTATTTCTTGTACATCGTTTCAGAATACACAGTCTCTACTAGCTGCATGTTACAAGCAAACCAGACAGTAGTAAGAAAGCATGATATCTGAATATTAATAAACCGGGTATTTAAAAGCTTAGTAAAATGGTAATACACAAAATTAGAATGATCTGTTGCTGACTCAGTTAAGTATTACAATACACAGTCGCGACTTTTGAATGCTAAACCGTAATATGCTTTTGGGCAGAATCCAAATGAAGCATATAAGGTAGTGCATGCTGGTTATAAAATGCGCTAAAATTGCAACGGAATACAGGTAACAGCTCCAAATTAGAATGAACGACCAATTTATCTTCAATCTGAAAGCTTACTCCATCGTGTAATGTTTCCCCGATATACTAAAGCATCGTTTTTCCAGTTGTTAGTTCTAATTGGCAAAACCAACTATAAAGGAGATGCAAATCTCTCGAAAAAACAGTATGCCTGCATATTATGAATGTTTGCAACCACAACTAAGCTGTAAACTGGAAATTTAATCTAAGAACTGCAAATTCCAAACCGGTACACATCCCGTTGATAGAACATTGTTCACAACCTGTATAAATGAAAGGTTTCAGAAAACTGGAAGCTGGTATACTGAACCTCAATCTTCAAAGGATGTTGCCTCACTTATTGTTTGAGCAACTAGACAATAACAAGTATTTCAATACATCCAAGAATCATGGAATCCCTAGTCTATGAAATTTTTCCGACTCTGCCAGCTCGGCTCCAGGACAAGGTTTTATGTGTAATGAATTCATTGACTGCTGTGATATTTGATTAGAAGGGCAAGGTGGATAATAAACAAACTAGTTTTTAAAAGCTGTTAATTAGGTTGACCACAAATGTCATATCAATAAGCTGAACCTGACAACATTTCGACCTTCTTTCGATGAATTATAAATTTTCAACCCAAAAACTGTTAACGTATAAGATTTTTAACTTTCCTGTGTCTTCAACATGAAGTATCGAGCTTCATTGTTTTAATACCTCTTTCAACCTTTATTTATGCAAACTTTTGAAATGCTTATACGTTGTCGTCCGGCCATTAGTGTCTTTGAGAATTAAAGACAGTTTCCCAGTAAAAGGTTAGTGTTGTCAGTGAAAATTGATTGTGGGATTAATGGTTTATGACTGAACTTAAATATCTGAATACTTATCTGAAGAACAGGCAAACCTTTAGCATCTGTTTAGGTTCATGACAAAATAACCCTGCGAATCAGGGATTGTGTTCTCTCAAAGATTCAAGTGGAGAAAAATTTATCAGCCTAGAGATTATTGAGGTCTTCAGAATAAACCTCACCGATCAGTTAAACCAGGCTTTCACATGTTCAGAGTGCTATGCAAACCCAGTGCCAGCTGACGGCTTAGGGAAAATTCGTATTACTCCTGACTTAGTACTAAAAAATTTAAATCCTTACACCCCAAAAAGTCACCAGGTTTTGATAACATTCGCCCAATCGTCTTGAAACAATGTGCAGAAGCCGTCTGTTCACCAATATTTGACCTCTTCAGGTATTCACTGGAGTCACACAATCTCCCAACTGAATGGAAACGAGCCACTCTGTCTCTCCAATCTTCAAAGGAGGAGACAGGAAGGACGCAGCCTTTCAAAAATCAGTCGCATTACTACCAATACTATCAAAGGCAATGGAAAGGCGTACATGGATAAAAACAAAACACTCCATGAAGCCCAACACGGGTTTCGAAAAGGCTGATCTTAACCATCCAATCTTCTCACAGCATTGGACAGTTGAAAGTCCTGCTGGGGCCGAAAAATATCGGTGAACGCAATATTTTTGGACTGTTTAAAAGCCTTCGACACATTACTCCATGAACGCCTAATCGCAAAGGTTGCGGAAATGGGCTTCACTGACTCACTACTATCTGGGCTTGGAAACTACTTTGAGAATAGAGACTTTCGCACCATTTTAAATAGAGTGGGCGCCAGTTGACGAATCCCAACATCGGGATTTTTACAGTAGACCATCTTAGGCCTACTTTCCTTCATGATATTCAGTTATGACCTGGTAGACGAAGTCAGATCGGCGGCATCGGTCTATGCAGGCAATGCGAAGATCTGGAGTTACATTATAAGCAAACAGCATTTGACTGAGCTTCAACAGGACCTTAAGTCCTTTGAAGAATGGGCAGTAAAAAACGGTCTAAAACTAAGCCACCCGAAATGTCATGTGGTGGATATCCTGCCCCACATGACGCAAACGTTTTGCACTCTCAATGGAAGTCCGCTCCGTAATGTCTCCTCAGAGAGCAATCTCGGTTCAGTAACCACTGGAAGCCTTCAAAACAGCCATAACTATATAGAGAACGCAGCCAAGGCAAATACAACTCTTCACTTTTTGCGAAGAAAACTTGGTTTTATCACCCCTGAATTATTATTAAGGCTATTTAAGACATATGCACACCCACACCTGGAGGTTCATAAAGTTACCGCGCCCCCTCTCCTTTAAAAAGGCGGAAATCTCTTAAATTGAGTGCAGAGACGGCAAAAAAAACAGGCGATGGGATGGAAAAATAAACATTACGAGGACAGACTCCAGCACTTGGGATTATTCCCTTTGAGCCACAGGAGGATCAGAGGTGATCTGATTATGGCGCGCAACATAATAAGTACGCCTAACCATCCTAACGTGAGCATCTTACTGATGCATCACCACCACTCCCCCCTAGCCAAGCCTCGAAAAGTTGCCCATCAAATAGCAAATACTCAGATTCCTGCACACTTTTACGCAGCAAGTCACCCCGACGGAGGTGACCACAGTCCCCTCAATGGACTGCTTTAAGAAGAGACTTGATAATCACGTACACACGTACAGATTATCATCTCCCTCGTGGACAAGCTGTGCCTGATGCATGTCTTGAAACTTACTAGTTGTTACCATTGCCATTTCCTCAGATCACTAACTCAATCTATCTGGCTTATTATCTCTGTTTCCTCCTCCTTGCTCATATTCCGGTTTTCCGGCACAATCTTCAATACCAATTAATAAACTGAATTATCCTGTATTTACTTATTCTCAAAGAATTACTCTTTTTAACATTAGAATTTCCTCCTTCCGTCTAGTAATGTGACGGCTGCCCTACTGCCCTGAAACAAACGTATTCATTCAAACCACGGGACATACAAACTCGCAAATAGCTGCCAACTGACTACAATTACACAGTTGAGTGACTAAATCCCCATTCATTGGGCACTACCTAACACCTGGAACAGTACCGAAGGAACAAGAATCGAGCGCACAGAAATCGATTGGTCTATAACTAGCTCATGAAAAAGATACTAGATTCCAAACGTTGGATGTTGAAATCACTTGCTTCACTTTCTTTTCATCTTCATTAAAAGCACGATTGGCAACGGCACTTTCTTATACACGTGCATATATTCATTCATATATATTTTCAATTTTTAGGGTATGCAGCTTATAAAATAAGCCTCACTTGAGACAAAGTTTCAGAATTGTAACCAGAAATTGTTTGAACATCACCAATGAAAATAGCTGTCAAATTGTAACTTAATTGTTACACAGAAAATGATACATTTGCGTGTTAGCGAATACATCTTATCATAGTATTTGTGAAGTTATGAAGCGTTTAGACTTTAAAAAAATTGCTAAACAGCTTGTTTAATTATTCATAGACTCCACTAAAAGTTCGATGATCGGATTCCTCTTTCTGCATATGGTTTGCTATTTTTTTTTGTTGAAAAACCTCGTTTTTTATTTGCTTTGAGTGGTTATTAGTGGAGAGCATGTTTAAATTCTTCACCTGATGCGCAAAACATAATCATTGGTAACCAACCCTTATTTTCTGCAAAAGTTTTCTAAGTGCACATACATTGCTTAGTTCAAAAGTAGACCTGAACTCCAATTTTCTCCCAGTTGCTTTGGTTTATGAAACCAATTCAACGAGGCTCTTCAAAGTAAATGGTGTAAATTAATCAGTTTTGAGTTCGCTGAATAATAATTTCTAAGTTGAAATTATTTGTTTAATTTCATCCATGTGACTGAAATTATCAATAACTTTCTTTTTAGTTATAATTAGTTTAAACATAACAGAAGAATTTACAGAGACTCGTTCAGAGACTAATAAAACCATATCAGTGAATCTCCAGTTTCAAGCATGGTTCTATTCAAATTTACTTACTTCTACATTCCTTAAACGATGTTTTAACTAGAAAGCCTATGGTTGATACTTGTGTCATAAAGGTAGGTACATCATCTTAGTGCTTAGCTGCTTAGAACTTGCTCAGTAAGTTGTCTAGCAATGAAATTGCTTATACTAGTTAGTCCTAGTGTTAAGAAAATAATTCATTTTGAAAGTTGTTATAGGAATCAAGTGTTAATCAATTAGTTGGTTGAAGTTTTACTTTTTAATACCCTACTAATTATTTTTCCATTTTTTTGAACATTTCAGACTTGTTTATACATTTATTAGTCAATTGTAATTTGAACTATACAGTTGTTACGTCATTATATACACTGAATAATATATATATCAACCGAACTCAATTAATAATTATCTATAGTTTTATCTAAATGTATCACTTTACTCAATTCATCTTTCTATTATATTGTTTGTTACAAATGTACAAATCACATCAAATATGGGAACATGAACTTAGAATGCCTTTTATTAATATAGAACAACAAGATACATATATGTGTGCATATTTTCAACCATCCATATTAAATGAAACTACTTTCATTCGAGAAATTCATCCTATTGCTAATCATTCTACTGTACATCATATAATTCTTAAAGGTTGTTTATATCCAGTTAAAAAAAATAATAAACATACAGTATGTGGAATATGTCAAACAATTTTATATGCATGGGGTTTAAATGCACCATCTTTACATTTTCCATTAGGTGTAGGATATCCAATAGGTATAAATGCTCAAATTAAAGGATTTGAATTAGAAGTTCATTATTTAAATCCTGTTATATCTGATCATTCTGGATTAAAATTAATTATCACTGATCAAATTCAACCAAGAGTAGCTGGTGTATTTTTATTATATGCATATGATGAGATAATACCACATGGTGTAAAAAATTTTGCTATTGATGTGTCATGTCGGTAAGTTATTTAAGAAATTTTTATTATTTCATTATGATTTCACAAAATAAATTCATCAACTAGGTGATCTCGAACTGATCTTTTTTATTTTTATGAAGCGGTAGATGTTTAACGTATATCTTTTTTTTTAAAAAAAAAAACTCTACAAAAGGTACATTTGACCATTATGTCTATCTTTATATGCTCATAAATACACATTAGGCTAATTATTTAAACTATTTTACCAACTGGACAGATATAAAAATTTTGGATATTTGTTAAATGGGCTATAGCAAAAAGTTGGAATGTTTAACATAACAATGAAAGATCTTTTAATATTTTTGTCATTTAAAAGCTCATGTCATGTTTAACAATGTTTCATAATTAAATTTTGAGGCGTTGAAATACTGAAGAGAGGAGTATACAAAGAATACTGAGAATGTGAATGATGTGAATTTTGTTTTATGTGTTGTTGAGACTTGCATAAGCTATTCACAAAAAAACTGTATTATTTTGAAAATCAGAATTCTTACACAATTCGCATCCTCCTCAGAACAGTAAAAGTGAGTGTATATCATGTTGTTGAAATGATGTAATCGAAGATATATAGATTGGTGTAAAGTAATTTACTATATGAGAGAAGATTCTGGATTATCAGATTCATATATATCTCATTGAACTAGGTTAATAGCAGTTAAAAACAAGGTGAGTTGGAATTAGTCCGTGGTTAATGAAGTTGTGAATTTGAAAGAAGTGATACGATTTAAATAAGAGAGAGAGAGATAAAGAGAAAATTACAAGAGAGTTATGTGATAAATTGATGATAAAACTACTATGATAAGGACAGATTTGAAACTATTTCCGTTGATATATATATTGAACTAAACATACATAAGTCCAGCTTGTAGTGTTCGATTGCTATGAATCTGTTGAATTTTACAAAAAATGGAGTTAGATCGTTAACTTGGTGATACCAGCAGATTCATTCTGTCACAGATGTATTTTTTTTACGGTTGCATTGGAGTCAAACGTAAGCCTTTCTTTTGGTTTTACCAATAATAACCACTTTGACAGGAGCATGCCAATCTGTAAACGCAGTTGACAGTAACATGATAAAGTTACCTATCAGTCTCTGAGTGTGAAGTAAGGAACATATTGTTTTGTGCAAGATAAATTCTAGTCAGTACGGTCTTTATTTCCTATGATTGCTGTCCCTGTAGACATCATCATCTTTGAGTTGTAGTTTTCTTATCTGTTGTGGTTTCTTAAAGCGTTTCATCTTTACTTTTTCCATCTTTTTTCTCAACAAATGTCTTTGGATACTAGTTGTTCGTTAGTCATTTTTTTTACAATGATTAATTCTACTTCTCATGTATCAGTAGTACATATTCCTTATGTTTTGTGAAAGTGATAAGTGCCTTTTTTTTGCAACTAGTCGATTGAAAACTCTACTACTATAATTCAGATAAAAAACCAATCCTCCTGTAGTGAACGAGAACACAGGTGGGGCAACCGAATTGTATTTAACGAAAACTACAGAGTTACTCAGTAAAATTGGAAAACCATATCGTAAATCGTTGATTTGCAAAATATCAGTTCATCATATCGAACTGGACTGTTCCTGTCGCAAAACATCAATCCATTGTCACTATTCATGCGTTTCATACAAATTCCATTGTATTCTAACTCTTCCTTTCTTGATCTTCCCCCATCTTCTGCTGCCAGACATTACGTTGACACTCACGTCATATACTACTTATAAGTAGCTCGCACCACACTCCTACCTCTATTTACTGTTAAATAGACGATAAAGTTTTCGAAGTGATTACACTGAGAAAACATTGACTAAACAAGTAATCAATATAAAAATTGTAAGCTACTATTTAAATCTCCGTAACAATATATTTTACATAGACGGTCATTATAATTCTTTCTTATTATTTATTACAACCCAGCTATTTTCCCTAATGTTTAGTATTCTCGGAAACCAATTCACTCGAAACGTTGTCCCAAAATCAGAACATGGTTGAACAGATTAGATTGAAGTTAAAGAAGTCCAAAACATTAGTACATTTATAGTTTCTTACATGAGAAGATTCTAGAATGTTCCTTCACTATCGATTAGCTCTGATTGGATACGAAAGAGCCAATCAGCGTGCAACAACACAATCATACTTTAATCCAATCTATATCCCACTAACAATGGTATGTATATTTAAGACATCAAAGATATTCTTTTTGAATTTACCATAGAATAATAAGTTCAGTATTTAAATTGCTTGTCAAAGAGAATGTAGAAAAGACAAGCTGCTTATAACATTCAATGTGAATGAGCAAGAGGGTTGATTACATGTTTTGATTACAAATCTATTAGCTATCTATCGTTCATTTATTTTAGTTAAAAACCAAAGAAATGAATCACACATTTTCAACGTAGTGTAGTTGCCAATAGTGAATTGTGTTATTTAAATTCAGGGAAAATTCAAAATCATAAAAAGTTGAAACTAGCCTTTTTATTTTTCTCATTAGAAGTTGTTTCGTTTCTCAAAACCTAACAAAAACTTCTTTCATTTCTACAGTAGAAAAAATGAATTTTTAACCAAGGTCATCCCTAAACTATCAAGTTCCACATACTTTTAAATATTGTTTCCTATTGGTTAGTGTATTCATGGTCGACCTAACTGTATAAATATGGATTGTCTGTGAGGTTTTATGCTTCTATTCTTTTTCTTCCTCTGTACAAAATCTCATATTTTCTGCGTGCTTGTAGAATACACTGTCTTGATTCTTACATCCTTTATGGTGCTTCTGAACTTTTTATTGATACAGATATGGTCGATTTTGTTTTGAGTAGTGTGGTCTGGTGAAATCCATGTAGCTTCGTGTATGCACTTGTATGCCGTCGATGATCAGTTTGTTGAAGACATATAGGTTTGCAAATCTCTCACCATTTTTATTCATTTCTTCCAGTTCATGTTGTCCCATGATGTCTTCATATCCGATGTGGTCCATGCCAACCTTGGTAGCTAGGTCTCCCATCAAAATCGTTAAATCCTTTGATGAGCGTCTGTCTATGACTGACTGCATCCTTTCGCAGAATTGATCTTTAATGTCGTCATTGTAGTCGTTGGTGGGTGCATACGATTGGATGACATTCATTCTAATGTCCTCTATCTTAGTTTTGAAGAATGCTTTAATGATCTTGGATCCATGAGATTCCCATCCTATCAGTGCGTTTTGTGCTTCTTTGGACAGAATCAGTGCAATTCCTTGTGTTTGAGGCATTTTCTTGTTCATGGCCGGAGCATAAAAAGCAAATCTCATGAAGCTAGTCTCAGTTGTCCAACCTGCGTCCGATGCGTTTCACTGTTTCCAAGCGCCTCCAGGTCATATCTTTTCATCTCTGCAGGAAGTTGGATGACTCTTCCGGTCTTCCACAATGTCTGGACATTCCATGTACCTAAAAGAATGGTTGCTCTGGTTGTCAGAAGGGGCATCGGCCTTGTGACTTCCGACGGAACTCGGCTTTTATCATGAGATGTCAGAACTCTTCTGAAAGAAGACCTTCTTACTCTCAGGGCAGAGTTAGAATGGTTTGAGTTATGTTTTCTGGTTAGCGTTTTCTAGCGAGTTAGTTGTCTACGGGATGCGGTTGCCAACCCCATGCCCGAATCTCCTCCTTTATCCGGGCCTGGAGCCGACAGTATCCCCAGAGGGGCCCTAAGCGGAGTTAATATGAAAGTATTTTCAAACAAATTATAGTCGAACTTCGCCTGTTTGACCCTACTGGTCGTCATCTACTTTTATAGAGGTGTGAGAAATCCTCATTTACAATAGTCATAAAACTTTCAGTTTGTCAGTGATAATCTTCCTGATGTCAAAAATGAAATGTTATAGCAGGCATATGTCCTTGATTTGTGATTCGACCTGTTTAACAAAGAAATTACGTAGTTAATGATTCCTATACGCCAGGTAACTTTGTCACATGTCGAAAAGATGTCTGTTCAGTAATATCATCTTAAGTAAAAGATATTTTCAGAATTCACCTATACTGAGTCACGTTTTACGCACATTGTCAATTAGTTAGTTACTGACTAAATATATGATAATGTTAATGCCGTTATATTTTTGACCATAATCATTTAATATAAAGTACTTACTTACTTACTAACGCCTGTTACCCCCAATGGACCATAAGCCGCCGACCAGTTTTCTTCAACCAACTCTGGGCTTCCCTTTCCAGTTCTGTCCAATTTTTGTTCATTCTTCGCATATCTTTCTCTATTCCTCGGCGTAATTTGTTCCTTGGCCTTCCTCTTTTCCTTTTGCCTTGAGGGTTCCATGTAAGGGCTTGTCTCGTTTGGTGCTTTTCGTAGTGCGTCTTCTATCCACTTCCACCGCTTCTTTCTGATTTCCTCCTCCACTGGAATCTTGTTTGTTTTCTCCCACAGTACGTTGTTGCTGATAGTGTTTGGCCAATGAATCCGAAGTATTTTGCGTAGACAACTGTTAATAAACACTTGTATCTTGTGGATGATGGCTTTGATAGTTCTCCAAGTTTCCGCTCCATACAGTAGAACTGTTTTGACATTTGTATTGAAAATCCTGATTTTGGTTTTGGTTGAAAGTTGTTTGGAGTTTCAGATATTTTTCAACTGTAGAAATGCAGCCCTTGCTTTGTCGATCCTCGCCCTCACATCTGCATCCGATCCACCTTAATATAAAGTGGTAGGATGTTTAAAAGTAGACATTCACTAAGAATGTACATGATTTATTTGAGTATTATTTTTGATATGCTGAAATCAGTTATGAGATTTTACAACTGAGAAACAACAATTAATTAACTGAATATTTATATTTCCAAAGTTCATAATGTATAAAATTAAGATTAGCAAATTTCCGGCTGGATTATAATTATTATGTCTAACTCTTTTAAAGTTATTTCTTAAATGAAATTGTATTTCATCTGTATTACATCTGCAGCAGTGCTGACCTCTCTCAAGGAAGAAATGGGTCAGAAAAGAT